ACTGTAGAAAACACAAGAAACGTAAGAAAGAAAACTGGCTGGAGAAAGGGGAAGCAAAACCGCAAATGCCGCGGCCGAAAATGACGGAAAAGAGAGCGACGACAAACGACAACACCAACGAGCATGCAATAACACATGGAAATGCGAACGATTCAGCAAGGACAACACCTAAATAAATGCTCAAGCGTTCAAACACGCCATGAAGCAAGCAACACAACAAATCATGAGTGCAAACCAACGGACAATCCCGCGGAATACCGCTCAGACAACGAACAAGTACGCAAATATTCGGCGTAAGCCATGGCACGCCCGTGGGCATACCCATTCAAACATCAGCTCGGGGGAAGCAGCAACCGACCCATCATCAACTGAATGCACTGGACAAGGCACTCACAATTAAATACAGTAACGTGACAACGATCGACAGGCGAGCAAAGAAACAAGCGACCACGCGTAGCACCAGGGATATGTACACAACACATGTCCAGCATAGCTGGGCAGCAAACAAGTTGTCGCGCAAGCAGTCGCGCAAGAAAACATGCATTCAAACTACACGTGTAAATACGCAAATCGGGCAAACTATGCTCGCATACAAACACCCCAGCAGGTCGCAAGCGAGCAAACATGCACGCAAACACGCAAAACGAGCATACCAAACATGCAAGCAACAATTCCCTCAAACAAACGAGCAAATGAGAAATCAAACCGCCGAACACCAGCAAACAAACAATTAACACGCAGACCATCCAACGATACATCATACACAAAAACTTCAAATAAGGGCTCCGGTTCTCAAATCGTCAAGCCGTAAGCACAGCGATCAAGCTATCGGCCTGAGGGCAGTCGCAGGAGCCGCGTTCTTTGTAACAAGTGTTGGGATTTTATGCGCAAGCTTGCTTGGATAACAAAACACGAACTTCTAATCGGCAAGTCCGCTTCGATAACAATGTTCAAAACAGCCTTTCTAAGGTAACGTCTAATGATAAAGAAGTGTCCCCATCATGTAAGAAATGAAACAACTTGGACCACTCAAACTGTGCAAACATCGAGCTGAACGGTCCATATCGACATGTGGGCAATGCCCTGGCTCCCAGGCAACTCTCGACTGGTGAAACGTCCAATTGCATTGCTTTTCGCAACCAAGTGCAAAACCTGCTCTAATTCAGTCACCACGGTGATGGCATCAACCCACCTTCTCATCATCGGAATGCAATTAATGCCTCAACGTTGCCCGCTGCCCAACATTGGCACCCGAACTCGATGACAAAATTAATGGAAATACAGCTTCAATGTGCGAGATTCATAATAAGCATCACCGCTGCACAATCCGCGCACGGGCACGCCGGAAACACACATTGCTTACAACACGGGAAGTTCGTAAGGCTCAGCCCAGCTGGAACCTACACTTAATGTGCCGCCCTGGCTGAAAACAAGGGTTATATCTAAAACAAGGGTTACATCTCCCCTGCCTGCTAAGATAATCAGCGAACGTTGCCCCGCACTTGTTCCACACCATTCTGTGGTGTTTCGAATCCGCAGCGCCCCGCGTCTCTCCTCACCTCCTCCCCCTCCTCCCCTCCTTGCCTCTGCCCTCCGCCTCCCTCGTCCTTTCCTTGCCTCTGCTCTTCGTCAGTCTCTGCTTCGGCACACCCCTCATACTTTCCGTGGCCCCCTGGGGAGCTCCACCAAACACCCCAATAGCAACGGTCGCATGCTGCCGCGCCCATGTCGGCAGTGTCATTACAAGCTTCGTATTTCTATGGACAGCTCAAGCGAAGGCCCTAATTGCAACGGTCGCATGCTGCTGCGCCCATGTCGGCGCACCTCTCACACGTTTCGTAACCCTATAGGGAGCATCACCGAACGCCCGAGTGGCAGTGTTTTTCGGAGCACGCCTCAAGCGCTTCGTGGCCCTATCTTCCTTCCCCTCCTTTTTTCACCTGCCTTGTGGCGCTCACATCTGCGTCTGGGTTGGTCCTTCGCCCGGATAAGTCTATTCACGCGCAGTTCGTCCAGGTTCGCTTGCAGTCGCGTCAATGACACGCAATTGAATGTTCCCCCTTTGAAGCGGGCTCACAATACATGGAACAACTTGTGTTTATTCTCGTTCTCGTTCCTGTATTACCCTACGCGGAACAGAGCAAGATCCCCCAAACATCCAGAATCGGATTCTAGTTTTCTCTACACACCCCCGCGCAAGAGCACCATTACCACCCTGTCACATTCTCCCTTGTTGCAATCGTCGTCGCTATTACCACGCGCACTCCTCCACCAACGACGCCACCACCACCATCATCATCATCATCGTCACCATCATCAGCATCATCATCATTATTATCATCATCATCACTACCACCACCACCATCAGCGTCGTCGTCGTCGTCCTCATCACCATCATCATCATCACCACCATCACCACCACCACCACCATCACCATCACCATCACCATCAGCATCATCGGCATCATCAGCATCAACAGCATCATCATCATGATCAATGTTGTTATTATCAGTACCCTCCAACACACACATTCATACATATGCATACACTTTGAGGAAGTCTCCAGCGGGAACCTCGCCCGTGAGTGAATTGTTAAGAAGTCACAAGCATGAACCCCAAAGACGTCTCGAACGGGAGTCCCTCGGTATGGGCCTCCCACTTTCATGTTATTAACCAGAGGGGGTTATCCAAAACGTGTAGCTGTTGTCACTTTTGGGCCCCTGGGGCCTGAATATCATGCGGGGGCTTCGTGTGTGAGTGCGTCGCGAGGAAGCCTCGAGCGGGAGCCCCTCCCAATGGCACTCCTGGCGTTCTGTTACCAATCCGAGGGGGCCATCCGTGTCTTGTGACTTGGGCTACTAAGGCTTGAGTAGTGAGGAAGTCTTTAGCGTTAGCCTCGCCTGTGAGTGAATTGCGACGAGGTCTCGAACGAGAGCTCTCTCTATGGGCCCCCTGCCTCACATTGTCCGAGGTGGTCACCCAGATCCTGTGGCTGTCGACACTTTTGAACTCCTGAGGCCTGGATCTTGAAGATGCCGCGGACGGAGGCCTCGTTTGTGAGTGCAGTGCGAGGACGTCTCGAGCGGGTGCCCCTCACTGTGGACCCCGCACCTTAGGCTTCGGATCCCACGGGGGTCAGCAGAAGTCCATGTCGTCACTCTTGGGATCCCGAAGGCTGAATCTTGAGGCAACTTCGAGCGGGAATTTGTTGGTCAGCAAGTCGTCAATTCCGGAAACCCTGAACCACAAACAAATGGCATCTCTTGGGGGCGCATTTTGGACTTCCGCCAACATCCGCTGGATTTCTGCCGTTTCTTCCGCCCACGGAACCACCACCGTCTCTACCGCTCGCTTCAGAGGGCCTTCGGCCGAGGAGTAGATACCAGCTCCTTCGATCCCTCGACTGCGAGGCCCTTTCTGGACCACCCCAAAGGGCAAGGACATCTCGACCACATCCCTCCTCGAAATCAAACGCAAGCTTTTCCAACGACGCGGCCGCGCCCCCAGACCCCCAATTTCAATGTTGACGCCGAACCTGGCGAATGCAATTTTTTGCTCCCTCACGGGCCGCGCTGGGCGCGCCCGCCAACATTGAAATTCGGGAGCGAGGGGGTTGGCTAAAAAATGGCGTTTGATTTTGAGGAGGGTTGCAGAACCTCTCCCCCGTAGAAACCCCACCTCATGCTAGTAATCCGACCAGAGGCGTGCCCTGGCTTCATCGGCGAGCGCCGCTCGGGAGTCTGCGCGGCTTGCTCTGCACACAAAAGGTGGAGGAATCAAGAGGGAGAGGGACGGATGAAAACGAGGGAGCGAAGGAGGAGGAGGAGGAGGTAGGGAGGCAGGAGGAGGAGGCAAGAGGAACAGGAAGAGGGGGCAGGATGAGGAAGGGGGGAAGAGGAGTCATGATGATGATGATGATGATGATGATGATGATGATGATGATGATGATGATGATGATGATGATCAGAAGGCAATGAAAGGAAGGTGGAAAAGGCACGAGGAGGGGGAGGAGGCAGGAGGGGGCAAGAAGAGGAGGAGAAGGAGGAGGAGGCAGGACGAGGCAGGATCATGCAGCATGAAAACGAGGAGGAGAAGGCAGGAGTGGGCAGGATGATGAGAAACCATGATGATGCTGATGACGATGATGACGACGATGATGATAAGGATGATGCTGATGATGACGATGATGATGATGATGATGATGACGATGATACTGCTGATGATGCTGATTCTAGTAAGGAGGATGATGAGGCATGATGAGCAGGGAGGGATGGATGGAGGGAGGGAAGGATATGATGATGATGATGATGATGATGATGATGATGATGATGATGATGATGACGATGACGATGATGATGATGATGATGATGAGGAGGAGGAGGAGGAGGAGGATGAGGAGGAGGATGCGAGAGGAGGAGGAGGAGGAGGAGGAGGAGGAGGAGGAGGAGGAGGAGGAAAAGACAAGAGGAGGATGAGGAGGATGAGGAGATGGGAGATAGGATGACGAGGAGGAGGATGCAAGCGGCGGGACCAGGGTTTCCATAACCACAACCACAACCACAGTAACCACAAGCACAAGGGCGACGAGGTCGATTACTCTTATGCAAGCTGGGTTAATTGTTATGCGCGGCCCTACCGTCGGAGCAATTCTGAGCGGCGGGCGCAAGCGAACATTTTGTACAAGCGGAGATAGCTTTCCCAGACGGACTACATGCCGATGCTCGTTTGTGTTAAGCCTGGACAGTTAGTTTCGCTCGGCGACGCGATCCCGCGATGTTGGCGCGATCTGGTCCCCGATCCGACAGAAGACGCTCCGCAGACGCGTCGGCGGAAGCCCCGGGCACGCCCGAGCCGTCAGGAGGCCGTCCCGCGGCCCCTGCCCGTAGAACGCAAGCGGCCTCGACGGCACCCCATGACCATAACAACCAGAACCCCACTCGGAGATGCGGTGAAGGCAGGCAGCCCAAGAGGCAGGCAGACCGATCGGGGCCCGCCGCTGCTCCTGCAGCAGCCCCCTCCGCGCGAGCGAGCCGCGACGGGCGGCCTGCAGCCTGACGGCGGCCCGCTGCCTCGCCGCGGCGTCCTCCGTGCGGGGGCGCGGCGCTCGGGCGGCGGC